GGGGGTGGAACCCTCGCTGGGACAGTGTGGTCTCAGGACCCTCGGGGTCACAGGAAGACGGGGGGGACCTGAGTGCGGCAGAGCTCTCAGGTATCGGAGCGGGGATACTAGAAAATACAAACAAGGGTGGGGAAAAAAGTCACCTGCATTGCCCTGACATCGGGACAACACTGTTGATACTTGGGTGAATATCCTTCCAGGTTGTTTTCTATCAACAGCAGTTTACCTATTTTTCCCCCGTAAGTTTCAGACCATGACTTACACACCACTTGGAAACCTGACTTACTTCACATTCCTAAAACCTATCTTTCCATGGCAAGACATCTCTTTGACTTCTACATCAGTATTTTCAATGGCTATTTCTTCTGTGGGTGTACCGCATCTAACCATTCCACCACCATTAGCATTAATTTCCAGTTTTTTGCTGTTAAGGCAAATGCTATGGTGAATGTCCTTTTGCTAAATCTGAGCACACACAGAAAGCCACTTCTTGGTATACGTTCTGGACCATGTGTGGCACCTGGCATTTGAGGGCACATCTCCCTGATGATGTTCCAAGGCCTCACTGCTAGAAGGGGGTGCCCCTTCCCCAATCCCCAGGGGTCAGAGTAAGCCCAGAGTAACCCAATTTGGATGTGCCCTACGTCTGGACTCTCCTGCTTTATTTAGGACATCACAAGACTCACTGTGAAAAGAAAGACAATTTAAGCGAAATCCCAGAACTTTTCCAAATCTGTTTGCCATCAAGTTGAAAAGTAAACATTTTCCATTATTTATTAGCACCGCATTTGCAGAAGCAATTTCCCTTTCAGTCTGTCTGGCAGAATTACAGTTTGCCGTGGGAAAGAGGAATGCAGAACCTCGTAGGACGATCTTTTAGTAACTGAAATGAAACGTATGCTCAAGGCAGAGAGACCCAGAACACAGCTAATAACCATTCTTTCTTTCTATTGTATTTTTATTTTATGCTCCCCAGACTCTTTTTTCACCTCAAGATCCGGATTCACAACACGGTACATTGAAATCTTTTTATTAAAGCAGTTATTGTCATTGTTCCACTTTGTCTGGAATTTTAAAACCTACATCCTTAGGGTCTGAATGTTTGGGGAGATTTCCGTTTTTCTGTTTTGATCCTTCTCCAGAAAAGCCAATTACAACACGTTATTAAGTATTTCCAGACTTCTAAGTTAAAAGAATCCATTCTTCTCTTCTCTCGATAGCTGGAGGAGACAGAGTAGAATCCCACATTTTAAAATCCCCCTGAAAACAGACCAGGGCCTCAGATTTTGGAAGAGATACATTACTCACTGGGAACAGCTCCCACGGAATCCAGAACTCTCTTGTTAGGCAGCAGAGTGTCATCCTAAGATGGTTCTGCCACTCCAAAGACACTCTAACAGCACCAAGTTCTCTAAGCTCCAGATGGTTAGGAGACTCGGGCTGAGGAGTCTCTTCAAACAAGCTCAGCTCTTACTTGAAAGGTGCCCTTGGGGGACTTGCTAAGACTATGTGTTGTACTCAGTACTCCTTTCTCGATACTCAACACACTCTCCTTGAAATCAAGAGAAACACTTTAGTAAATTGTGTTCTTTGATCCCCCCCGAAACCAGCCTTACCAAAACTCTGCGTGCGGATGAGTTTTTGTGACCTTTACAACACCGTATTAAGTCTCCTGAGAGCAGCCTGAATGAGAACATCAAGGCGAGACCTTTCTGGAGGCGCAGACACACATGCAACAACGGTACCATGATTAAATAAGTTTTTATTGTCACATTGAACTGCTTTGTCAGATATACACTGTAGGTTTCAGTATGGCATAAAAATAAAGATATTTTCCTGAATGTCAAAATCTGAACAGAGAAGATGGCAATGGCACTTAAAAAAAAAAAATTCACACTGGCGCTGAAGCCGCTAGAAGGGAGCTGATAAAAACCGGAACACTTTTGCAGATAAAGTGGTCTGCAACGTTTCAAATCCAATGGCAGTGGTGTAAGGCCAACAAAACCATGAGAGCAGGAAAACACAGACCCCACAGCGTGGCTCTCTGAAGAACGGCAGTCTGAGTATTTCATGTTTCAGTCTACGCTGGGTAACTTTGCATTGGAACTGAAGCTCAGGGAGTAAACTTCTTTCCAACAAAATGAAACTACTTTTTTGGAACTTGGATTTGAAGCCTCTTTGACACCTTCCTTATTCTCACAGGTTTTAGCTAGTTCAAAGGAAAGGCAGTTATGTCCCAAAGCATTAACTTTGTGGGCTGACCTCATCACTGTATGGTGGGTCTTGTCATTTCCAAACCAGGAGCCTAACGTGCTCACGAATGTCTTTAGTGGTTTCACACCATTCTGGGCAAAACTAGAAAACAAGCAGTAATTAAATAAAAATATAAGTGCAGCCCAACAGAAAGCCTCTACACATTCTGCAACTATCCTCCAAATAGCAATTAAAAAAAAAATAAGTATGGTTATTTGGATTTAAAATGAATCTTTATTCACCAAGATTCCCAAACACTTTATTAAATGTCTTTTCCTCCACAAATAAAACTAACACTAGGATTTGTCAGAAGAGCTAAATGAATTATATCCCTTATGTATGAACTCGGCTAAATCCACTGTGTCTGGAATCTGTTCATCATAAAACTCAGGTCTGGAGCATAACTCCTTTCCGTTATCCACTGCTGTGCATCCTTCATCTTTAAGATCCAGAACAGAGACCATAAACGTGGCTAGTGCAACATAGCAGTCACTGTAATTCCCCGAAAGAAAAATAAGTAATTTATTTTATGACATACTTATTTGGATGATTACTTACTGGTAATTAGTATTTCTACATTTTTTTTTTAAAGGCAACCATTTTAAGTGACAATATATATCAGGCTAGTAGAAAAAAGTTGAAACAAAGCCCTCTCTTTTGATCTCACAAAGTCATGCAGACAAGAGAAGGTACATCCGATTTGTTCCAATCAGGCTTCTTGGAATTATCAAAATTTCTTTCTGGCAAAGATGAATTTGGCTCATCATAGAAAGAAGGTTCTTTGAAGGCTGCTGCTAAAGTCGTTTCCCTTTGAAAAAGTAAATTTCAAGGCATGATAGTGCAAGAGGTAAGTTTTTGATTTATAGAACATTTATAGACTAATTGTGCTTAGTCTCTAATTTCCAATTTATTTTAAAGAACAGAAACTACGTTGATAAGTTTCACTTTGCCTAAATTTACCAGTACATCCATGAATCGCACCAGAATTAGGACAATTTGATTATCTTAATGATTCTGTCATGAAATCTGCACACTGTGTCTGCAGGTGAGAACCGGCGATGTGAGGCTCCTACCAGCTCTGTGCCCGAGTACCCTCCTGTGGGGTGGCCAGGGGTCTGAGAACGCAGCTCTCCCCCCAGATTAAGTCCTCAAAAAACTCTCTCAATAAGCAATTACGAAAAACAGTGCTAAGTGGAGAGTTTCTTTGTTTAGCTAAATCTGGGAGGTCTGAGTGTTCCTGGAGCCCCCGTCAGGATGTGTCATGGGTCGAGAATCCCTCGAATGGGAGTATTCACTATTAGAGGGTTCTGTGGGGTCAATCAAATTTTCATAATCACTGTCATCTGATTCCTCAACACTGTCTGCAGCTGCTCTTTGGGAAGGAGGAAGGTCTGTGCCACTTCCAGGATACTTCAGTCCAGCACTGGTGGAAGCATAATTGGAAGAACCCACAGCTTGAGGTCGAGGCATAAAGACACTGGTTTCCATGCGCGAATGGCTCAAAGTACTTTCTTGATTGTTTGGGTGAAAATCAGAATAAGGGGGAGGAGGATCAGAGGCCTCTGCATCTCCAAGTGCACTTCTACCTTCAGCTGCAAGCCCAGAATAGGGCATCCGAGGGCTGAACGCTGGCCCCAAACTTTCAGATGGCACCTGTCTGTTGATCATCGCCTGCTGCAATCCTGGATGAAAACAGAAAGAAAATCGTAATGCCTTCTCTATTTTCACAGCTTTCCATCTCAACGCATTAAATGATCAACTTGAATGTTCTGGAAAATGGCAACAAAGAAGTGAAACTGATGACGACTCTTAATTATCTTACATTTGCATAGTACTTCATAACTGACAAATCCTGTTGCTATACATTAATCCATTTAACCCTCAGAAAACCTTCTGAAGTATTATTGTGATCATCATTACTATCACTGCTTCCAAATTATTAGGCAAAGAAACCAGAGTTCAGAAAGGTGAAGTGACTTCACTAAAGGAGCGGCCAGAAGCGGGGCAGATGCAGGTCTTTTAAACGCAGGTCCCTGTGCCCTTTCCCTCCCAGTAATCACTGTGCTCTCAGACTGTGGTCTGGCACCACCACCCCTGGCACTCACCGGAATGTGAGTTTCTTCTCTGACAGGCCTCGCATCAAAAAAGTATATTTCTTTACAACTACCGGTCACAATACACTCATACACCATTTTCTTTCTTTTTTTTTTTTTACACCATTTTTTCCTTAAAAGTTTAAAAGTCCTATGGTAGGGGGCCAATTTTCCAGGTTCTGGACCATAAATATAGCACTTTTTTTTTTCCTTTCTTTTTTTTAATGTAAGCTCTACAACCAATGTGGGCCTCAAACTCACAACCCCGAGATCAAGAGCTTCACGCTCCACCAACTGAGCCAGCCAGGTTCCCAGCCAGCGTATTTTTATGCCTGCTCTGGAATAGTTCAGAGCATATCTGGACTCATATCTATATGAGTCCCTAGCCTTGAAAAATACTGGTACAAAATTTAGAAAAGAACAAGGAAAATAAAATCTCCCACAATTCTATCACCCAGATAACACCGTCAGACTTTTGGTGAAAAGAGCACAAGATCTGGGGTTAAAAGATGTAATTTAGATGTCAGCCCCACCCTCCTTTTCTGAATTCCAGTTTTATTATCCAGCCTTGTGTGTGTGAGAATGTGTATTTTAAACACAGCTGAGATCATTTGTTTATGTCATTTTATATCCTACTGTTTTCACTTAAGATTATATACTGGGCATTATCCCATGTCATTAAAAATTCACTTCAATGGCTGTACAATATTCCACCATATCGCTATGCCATGATCTAGTCAACTATTCTGCTATTTATTCAACTCCTCCAGTAGGTTGTTTCTCAGATTTTAGAATCATAAAATTGTGATTAATATTCTTATATGTAAATCCCTGTCTGCATTTCTGATTGTTTCTTGAAAAATGTAACACTACAAATGAATCAAATTATCACCTACCCAGAAATATAAATTATATTTTAATTGGTTTGCAAGTATTCTTATTAAATTAGGAGAAGTTATAAATTTAGCGTACGCATGCTAAGTCTGGTGGTATTATGGCAAACGTGTCTTTTCCCATATGCTGGGATCAACAGATTCTTGGGCCTCATTCTCATTCAGCCAGCTGGCTCCTTAGCTCAGTTGTACCCATTCACCCACAGCTACCAAAAACCAGACATTTAAAGCCTTTGCTGTGACCCTAAGAACTAAATATGAAGTGAAAAGAGTATTAGGTAGCTTCTTTATGTGGCTACGTGATGAACACAGGACGCGGTCCCTACACGCTAGGTTTGCCGGCGTTAACTCAGAAGCATCACAGCTGCGGTAAACAGATCACAGTAGTCGACTCAGGCCTAAGTCTGCAGTCGTCACTTCTCGGGATTTACTCTAACTTGCTTCAGCCTTTCTACGGTTACTCTTCTTTCTCTTCTAGTTTCAGATACTTGAAAGGGTACCATGAAAAAGAGTACTTCTCTCCTGGAAGTACGAGTGAATGCTCTTTCACCAACAGCCTCACGGGGGGCTTGACAATTACAGAGGATTCCTGTGATTCATCATATGGTTTGATGTTTGAAACAAGACGTTTCCCTGATACTGAACAGTGAAATTAGCAGGAAAACTCACTTCTTTCTTGCTCCTTTTCATTTTTCCTCTGAGTGATTTGTCTTCTTAATTTGCTCACTTCTGCCTGACAAGATTCAACAACTCGCTCACTCCTTTCTACATCTGCACACACTGCCTGAGGGAAAAATGACAACAAGAACAATCAGTTTCAAATCCAAGCACAAGGCATTCCATGAAGACAGCACGGACTGCCACCCTAGAGCCCAGATGCCTTATCGAGTTAAAAAGCAGACAGGTAAGGTAGAACAAAATCATGAAGGTCCAAGGAACCAGTATTGTTCACTGACTCACTTTCTTAATTTTGTTAAGATGATTATCTATTTAGCCTGTAAATTCTTGAAAAGTTAGGGTGAGGTGGGAAAGATTTAATTTTTTCCTTCAATTATGCTTTTTTTATTAAACTGAAAGAAGGATTTTTGGTACCAGTCTAGCACACAAAGGACAAACAAAAGATAAGACAGGAATGAGATGCTTTCAACTTTAATTTATAACCAACAATCAAAAATCAGATGCCACAAATAGACTTATTTAACAGAAAATATTTATAATTAGGAGGAGTGGAAAAGAAAGTAAGTTTCAAAGTCGAGACGCAATAAAGGCAGCTAGTGAGACTACATCTCTGCCATCCAATCACCCACATCAGGGCACTCTATGTCAGACTGGTGTTTGCAGAGCAGGCCTTATTCAATCAGCAGCGAGATGCAGAACAGCCACTTTGAAGTCGGCTGGACAGTACTGATGGTCTGCAAAGAGCATGGTCATGAATTTAGGACAAAAAGTTGTTTTTCACTGCACGTTCCTTCCATAGCAGAAATTCCAGAAACTACTGAAAGTAGGCCGGTCACCAGTGAGCCTCTTTAAAATTCCCTATATTGCTAGGTGGGCCGTGACGCGACTGTGGAACACGAACACTGGAAACTGCCTATTGTAGGCTTTCTTCTTCAGTCCCAGGCTGATCCCTCTGCTTTCTTCTTTTTCAGCAGCTGACTACATTCCCTTCTCTATTCCTTGGGGCTTCTTCAGGCCTACCACCCTCCTTCTTATTCTCAAAGCCTCTTTTGTTCTTAGGGTTTAGGGCAAATGACTCCCAAGAACACACTGGGGATGATGAAAGATCCTGGGAAAGTACTGTTAGCACCTAGCTCAATAAGTGGCTTGTAGGAAATGTTTCCACAAATATTTGTTGCATGAATGACTAGGAATGAACAGGCTCCAATGCGATCCTCCCACTTGATGGAGGTAGCGGGGGGCAAAGCAAGTGACCCAGAGCGAGGGAGCAGGGCTGTACCAATTATGGGTGCCCTGTGATGCAGTCTCAACTTCGAGTGTACTGATGGAGACAGCTGTGGTCTTACCAATCCTTTAAACTCGGAATAGATTTCCCGAAAGAAAACACTGTTATAAATGGGGTCACGAGTATTCAGAATAGTAATATTAATGCTGTACTTCAGAATCTCTACTTCAGGAGCATAATGAGGCAGCCTTTGGTAGGCTGGCGTGAGTAACCACCCTGCACATAGGAGATTATTTTGTGAAAGCACATTATGACTTTTGGACGATGATTCATTTGTTAGTTGGGAGATTATTAAAAATTAAAGTAGAATTAAAAGCACTAGTAAACAAAAACTAGTAAATAAATCAGTTACCTGCACTTTCTCCTGAAGTGCATTATAAACCTGATAAATCGCCCTGATGTCTTTCATGACTCCGTCCTTGTCAAAAAAGTCAGTACTGGAAGACAGGAAAAGAGGTCACACAATTACTGTAACTGCTAGGGACCCAAAAGGCATTTTCCTACCACTTCCACCTCGATCTATTACACAAACGCTGCAACTCCAAGAAACTGTCTCAGCAACAATGCCCACGCTACTAGAATTACAGAAGAGACAAAAAGAACCCATGTTACCAAGACAACTTAAAACATAATAAAAAACTATACATTTTTCAGTGGCCACATTTAGCTTTTGGAACCTCAGAAATACACATACTCTGTCCAAACTTTTATATATAAAAAAAAATTTTGTAGTAAATGTTTAAAAAAAATTACTGATAAAAATAAACTATCTGTTCAATCAGCATAAAATTCTGACATACAGTGGTAGTGGTCCAGAGGATGACCTGACTGCATTTTTCAGTTTCAATCACATCAAACTCGATTTCACATGTCTCCATAAATCTGTTAAATACTCTTCACAAAAGGCAGGAAGACATTTTCATTTCACTTTCAACTCACCCATGCTCTTTGATAACTTTGGCGTAACTCTGAGAAGTATTTGGCACTGAAGACACTTTATACTCCTGCTGGCTAGTATTGCCTAGATTGGGGATAGCAAGGGATATCCTTTGATTATACCTGTAGGAAAATCAAGAGAGATCGTGTTAAAGGCGCTGCTCTTCCTCAACTGTGGGTCTTGGCAGGAGGAGTTGGAGTCTCTGCACTGCTGAACTAACAGAAGGTCTCACAGCACACCTACTTGCACAGACAACCCAAGGATGCCTGAGTTAGTAGAAACTTGACTGTAAACTCCTTGAGAGCAGAGGTCTTGTCCCCACAGCAACTGGCAGAGTGCCGAGGACGTTGTAAGAGCTCAGGAAATACCTGCTGATTGATTAATTAATGAAACCTTGAGAATGGCTATTTAACAATTTGTTTTCATTGATGTTGATATAACATAGTCTACAAGTGAATTTCCAGAAGGAAACCTTTCTGTTATTTACAGATAGACATCATTACCATATTTTTTTGTTTGTTTTGCTTTCAAGAGTTCACAATGCAAAACCTTCATTAACCAGTAGGTGGATCAATTTGACAATTTTGTCTTTGAAATCTGTTTTAAAATTACTTCCAGAGCAGTAAAACTGTATGTATTTCTACATAATGGACTATGGAGAAGCAAATGATGATTTCCAACTGCTTATTCCTGTAAGAATTTATGCATAATTAACATATCTTGCTAATGCCTCTTGATTCAAAAACAATTTTAATTTATACGACAGGAAAATACCTTCTCTCAAAGAAAACTAGCTGAAAGAGAATTATAAAAGCTTTTCTTTAAAGATGCTATAAAATGCACATTTTCAAAGTCATAAATCCCAATTACATGTACCAACATCTTTACTATTTATTTGAGGCTGGTGGGAACGCTTTCTTTACCTTCGATTTGGTCTAAAGAGAACGTATTCTAAAGCATGAGTGGAATTGTTGGCGGTGGAGATGAAGCTGAAGAGAAGGAAGACAAGGTCGGGCACCCCAAGGATGCGGGTGAGCTGCTTATGGATGACCTGCTCCCTGTACGACATCTGCTGCTGTGTGTTTCGCCGGAATCTGTACCATCCAATAACTTTCTGCAATAAAAACAGAAGGAGAAAAGGATGAAAAGTTGCATGAAATCTTACGAATTTAATTCTGAATGTACCCATACAAACACTTGTACACATACTCGTAGCAGCTTGACATGCAACAGCTCAAAACTAAAAACAACCCAATTGTGGGGCGCCTGGGTGGCTCAGTCGGTTAAGCGTCTGCCTTTAGCTGAGGTCAGGATCCCAGGGTCCTGGGATCAGGCCCCATGTTGGGCTCCCTGCTCAGCGGGGAGTCTGCTTCTCCCTCTGCCCCTCCCCAACCCCTCTCGTGCTCACTCTCTCTCTCTCTCTCACAAAACAAAGAACGAGATGAAGAGCTGCACAGCAAAGGAAACAAAACTAAAAGACAACCTATTAAATGGAAGAAGATATTTGCAAATGATGTATCCAATAAGAGGTTAATATCCAAAATACATAAAGAACTCATACAATTCAACACAAAAACCCAAATAATCCAATTAAAAAATGGGTGGAGGACATGAATAGATATTTTTTCAAAAAAATCTGTATGTCTATACAGATGGTTAACAGACACATGAAAAGATGCTCAACATCACTCATCATCGGGGGATATGCAACAAAACCACAATGAGTTATCACCTCACACCGGTCAGAATAGCAAAAAACAAAACAAAACAAAACAAAACAACCAAAACAAAACAAAACAAAACAACCCACAAGAAACAAGTGTCGGCAAGAGTGTGGAGAAAAAGGAACCCTTGTGCACTGTTGGCGGGAATGCAAACTGGTACAGCCACTGTGGATGACAGTGTGGAGGTTCCTCAGAAAATTAAAAATAGAATTACCATATGATCCAGTAATTCCACTACCAGGTATTTACCCAAAGAATACAAGAACACTAATTTGAAAAGATACATGCACACCTATTGTCTATTGCAGCATTATCTACAATAGCCAAGGTATGGAAGCAGCCCAAATGTCCATCAATAGATGAATGGATAAAGTGGCATATATATATACAATAGATTACTCAGCCATAAAAAAGAATGAAATCTTACCATTTGCAACAACATGGATGGATCTAGAGGGTTTAATGCTAAGTGGAAGAAATCAGTCAGAGAAAGACAAATACCACATGATTTTACCTATGTGGAATTTAAGAAACGAACAAAGAAAGAAAGAGACAAAAAAACATACTCTTAAATACAGAGAACAAACTGGTGGTTGCCGGGCGGGGGGTGAAACAGGTGCAGAAAATTAAGAGAACACTTAATCATGAGGAGCACTGAGTAATGTATAGAATTGTTGAATCATATTGTACACCTGAAGCTAATATAACACTGTATATTAATTATACTTGAATAAGATATATTTTTTTTAAAAAAGGGCACAAGGAGACTTGCAAGGATATGTTCATCATCTTATTATGCTGATGGTTTAATGGGTGTATGAATATTTCAAACTTATCAAAGTATATACTATAAATATGTGTAGTTCACTGTATGTCAATTATACCTCAATACAATGACTTAAGAAGTTTAGCTTCATCAGCTCTAACTGTAGGATAACTAAACACTCTAAGTGAATTAAACTGATAGGCTCTCTGGAAGAATATCTCTTATAATGTGATCTGCCGGACATCTGGGAGCTTACTAAAATGCTCCTGGGCCCACCCAAACCTGCAGAATTAGAATGTCCAAAGGTAGAACCAGGAATCTGAATTTAAGATAAGTTCCTTGAGTTTTTTTCTTGTGCACATTAAAGTTTGAAACATCTGTTGTAGAGACAATTCTTTATCAGGGGAATAATCTTCATATAGCCTTTCTGTGAAACATTTTTTTTAAGTGAAAATCCTGTTTTAAGAAGTAAAGGTAGCTTAAAATTGTTAACATCATATTAAAATTAACAGTAAAGGGGCACTTGGGTGGCTCAGTGGGTTAAGCATCTACCTTCGGCTCGGGTCATGATCCCGGAGTCCTGGGATCAAGCCCCACATCAGGCTCCCTGCTCAACAGGGAGCCTGCTTCTCCGTCCCTCTCCCTCTGCCCCTCCCCCTACTTCTGCACACGCGTGCTCTCTCTCTCTCTCTCTCTCTCAAATAAATGGATAAAATCTTAAAAAAAAAATTAACCGTAAATTTAGGGATGCCTGGGTGGCATTGTCAGTTAAGCATCTGACTCGTGATTTCGGCTCAGGTCATTATCTCAGGATTGTGGGGTTGAGCCCGGCATCAGGCTCCATGCTCAGCATGGAATCTGCTTGAGTTTCTTTCTCCCTCTGCCCCTCCCGTTCATGCTCTCTTTCTCAAATAAAGAAATCATAAAAAATAAATAAATAAATAAGTAAGTAAGTAAATAAATAAATAATAAAATTTAGATTATCTTTTGGTACTTTCATGTAGGAAGGGAGTGAACCAACCTTTGCTGAGCCCCTGTGCCAGGCCCCCAGGTAGCTATTATTACAAATATTTTCACTAATTATTACAACCTTGGGAGGCAAGTAATGTTTACTCCATGGGGTTCACATCACATGCAAGTAACTACAGGGACCAAAGAAATAGTTGCTGCCCTCATGGAGTATTACTGAATATAAAGCATAACTTCCAATTATATTAAAGCAATTAATTCTGGTATCTTTATTTTTTAAATTTTAAAATTTTTTAAAGGTTTTATTTTTTAAGTAATCTCTACATCCAACTTGGGGCTCAAACTCACAACTCTGAGATCAAGAGTTGCATGCTTTGCCGGCTGAGCCAGCCAGGCCACCCCAATATTCTTTAAACAAAAAGAAAACCCAAACGTTTCTGACAATATAAATCTTATAAAAGAGATGTTTTGTCCCAAGTCACTGAGCAAATGAGTGACAGCCAAGATGTGGAACCTATCTTTTCCACTGTACAATGGTAACTCTACAATTCCAAACTGGTCACATGATAATGGTCATGAAAAAGTGAAGAGTAGGGGCACCTGGGTGGCTCAGTCGTTAAGTGTCTGCCTTCGGCTCAGGCTGTGATCCCGGGGTTCTGGGATCGAGTCCCGTGTCGGGCTCCCTGCTCAGCAGGAGGCCAGCTTCTCCCTCTCCCTCTCCCACGCCCCCTGCTTGTGTTCCCTCTCTCACTGTCTCTCTGTCAAATAAATAAATAAAATCTTTAAAAAAAAAAAAGTGAAGAGTAGGTTCTAACAGGTTCCCAGGTGATGCTGATGCTGCTGGTCCAGGGACCACACTTTGAAAACCAGAGCTCCAGCTGAAGCCCCTCCACACATAAAGATGAAGGGAGGGAAACAAGGGTACCCTCTGAACACTTACCTTCATTTAATGAAACACTTAGATTAAAATACCATCCTTAATCCTTTCACAGTGGGGAAGTCATAATGAATCATTTCACAATGTATAGGTATATCAAAGTAACATAACACAATGTTAATCTTACAGCTTTATGTGTCAACTGTACCTCAGTAAAGCTGAAATAAAAAATAAAATACCAAAAAAAAAAAGTGAAGAGTGGTTTTTCTTTAAAAAAAAAAGAAGTGGATAAGAAAAACCATCGCCTGGCTGGAGGTACTGATGCCTGAGAACACGGCACATTACACATTACACTCTGGGCCTGAGGAGTATGTTGGGGGTATGAGCAGTAACACTAGAGTCAGCTCCTCTGGAGGATGGGGGTGTGTGTCTACTCCCTCCCCCGGCCTCCCCACAGAGACCTGAACATTGCTAGCACATTGGCTGCTCTCATGAAACACTCAATGATGAACAGAATCTTGCAGGTGGCTACTAGATGAGTCATGCTTTTCACTTCCGCGGATTCCAACTGTTTTTATCTGTATTTTCTGAGGAACAGGAGCCTTATACATTTATTTTGGATATCAACCGATAGTAATCAACTTATTCATTTGTTATTTGCTAAAAGAATAACCCCATTATTCTTATCAATGAAAGATGAGATGCCAAATTAATTCACATTCGTGACACCTATGATCTACCTTTTAGAGCTAACAAGCTAGTTGTAAGACTACTGAGAAACTACCTCATTGACACTAAAAAGCCCATTTCTGACAACTATGTCTGGGCCATGAAGAAAAACTGTGGACATTTTTCCCTATAACCTTATTTCTGCTGAAGTTTCTTAGACAACTTTTCACAAAGACTTTCCTCTCTACTCTCAACTAGACATTCACTTATACTTTTTGGAGCCAAAGCAATCATCCCCAATACTGGGCATGCTTGTCATCTTCACATTGTGAGCCTTTTGGCCTTACGATGATATTAAGGTGGAAGTTATGTTTATCATCATCTACTGCAGAACAGATGCTTCCAGAAGGCAGAAACTCCCCTCTCACTTGCTTTTTTGGCCTTAGCCCAAAACCTGAGGCTTGTGCAAACTTCGTAAATACAAGATGGATTCTGCCAGGGCAGTAATTCTGCATGTTGCAGTAGATGACCACCTTGTACCTACTGGGGGATTCTCGTATCAAGAACATTAGCCTTGGGGCGCCTGGGTGGCTCAGTCCATTAAGAGTCCAACTCTTGATCTCAGCTCAGGTCTTGATCTCAGGGTCGTGAGATCAAGCCCCATGTTGGGCTCCGCACTGGCTGTGGAGCCTACTTAAAAAAACAAAAAACAAAACATCAGCCTCTATCTTAAGCCTACCATTAAATAAAAATGTTTTAGCAATGTTGTGGAGTTTCTATATTTGAGACCACATGCTCTCCAGATAACAACCTATGGCAGGTATACTACAGATCAAAATAGCAAATCGAATTTTATTTTTTTATTTTTTATTTTTAAGATTTTATTTATTTGAGAGAGAGAGAGAGCAAGTGCGTGAGTGGGGGGGTGGGAGGGAAGGGCAGAAGGAGAGAGATCATGACCTGAGCGGAAATTAAGGGTCAGATGCTCAACTGACTGAGCCACCCAGGTGCCCCAATTTTATTTTTTTTAATAAGCTCTACGCCCAACGTGGGGCTTGAACTCATGACCCAGAGATCAAGAGTCACACATTCTACTGAGTCAGCCAGGCACCCCCCGGCAAATCCGATTTTTAAACCCCCAAATTAATTTAGAAATGTGTCCCTATCTACTGCTAAAAAAACTACCTGGTAGAGTCCTTTCTTTTTTTTCAACTTACTTTCAATTAGAAAACACTGTCACAAACAAACTCCTCACATAAAGTTCCTCTTCATCAGCAGCATCTCCCCACTCCCCTTCCCAAAGTAAACACTTTTAGGTTTGGTTGCCTTCCTTCCAGATCTTTTTCTGCACACCTGAATACTCATTCAGATTTTTGTTTTTACATAAAGCAGGCTCAAATTACACTACTTTTTTCCTGTAACACAACTTTGAGATCTTCCTAGGTCACTACCAAGAACTTCCCTCATTCTTTTTAATGGCTGGCTCATACCCCACAGTATAGAGGTGCCAGCACAACCTACTTGACCGTTTCCCCTAGTGGACATTTAGATTTCTTTCAAAACCCTCACTATTAAGCAAAGATTCAACAAACATACTTGTTATACTAGGTTCAGAGGCCAGGCTGCTGGGTTTAAGCGTGGGCTCCACCATTACACCCTGGGGACCCTTCAGCAAGTTACTCACCCTTGTTGCCTCAGTTGTAAAACGGGGGTGGTAAGAACAGCAATTTACCTTCTAGTTCCAACACCCGGAAAATGCTTAGAACGTGGCCTGGCGCAGAGTTAAACTATTCATTAAGCCAGCCTTTCGTATCTTTGTGCCTAGATGCGAATGTTTACTTGGGCCAGATTCCTAGAGGTGGAACTGCATATTTAAAATTCTGTTATTGCAGGGCACCTGGCTGGTTCAATATGTGGAGCATGTAACTCTTGATCTTGGGGTCAGAAGTACGAGCCCCACACTGAGCACAGAGATTACTTTAAAATAATAATAATAAAGAAAATAAAAAAATAAAATTCTGTTATTGCACAACTCTTCTCCTAAATGTTTGTTATCAACTTACATTCGCACCAACTACAGCTTCCCCATTTCTCACAGTCTTACCAAAGCTGGGTATTAGCAATCCTTTTACACTTCTGCTAATCTGATGGGCAAAAAAAATACTATCATGCTGTTTCGCCTTGCATCTCCTGACTGAAGATAAACATCTTTTCATTTCTTTCTTGGCCATTCGTGGATGACTTTTTCTTTTGTGAATTTCCCGTTCATATTCTTTATTCATTTTTGTCACTTTAAATTTTTTCATCTATTTAGAAAAAATACTTCAGGGCGCCCGGGTGGCACATTCAGTTAAGCGTCCCTGTCTTGGTTTCAGCTCAGGTCATGAGCTCAGGTCGTGGGACTGAGCCCCAAGTTGCGCTCCGAGCTCAGCGTGGAGTCTGCTTAAGATTCTCTTTCTCCCCCTCTCTCTACCCCTCGCACTCACGCTGTCTCTCTCTCTAATAATATCTTAAAAAAGGGGCGCCTGGGTGGCTCAGTTAAGCGACTGCCTTCAGCTCAGGTCAAGATCCCAGAGTCCTGGTATCGAGCCCCCCATCGGGCTCCCTGCTCAGCGGGAAGCCTGCTTCTCCCTCTCCCACTCCCCCTGCTGTGTTCCCTCTCTCGCTGTCTCTCTCTCTGTCAAACAAATAAAAATCTTAAAAAAAAAACCTTAAAAAACTTAAAAAAAAAAAAGAATACTCCTGTTACTTTTAATGTGTAGTGAGTGCTCTAGAAAACTGTGCTCTGATGAGAATTTTCATGGAATAAATTTCAGTTTTAGAAAGTATAAAAGTTGTCTAAAATATGAGAATAAATGGAATGAGGAGATAGGTTGGTGGTTGGGATAGGAAGGATGGACTCCCGAGAGATTCTAGAATATATGCTCCTGGGCAAGTCACTGAAAAAAAGAGTGCTGGACGCCAATGCCTGTGACTGCTCCAACTCCCTTTCCCAGGCGGACGGCGACGGGGTGACTCTCCGGAGACGGCGCACCTGCTGAGCGTACCATCACCCACAAAGCTGTCTGTCCTTTCTTCCAGCCCTCCCAGTCTCCCTTCCATCGCACCTGCTTTGCTTTCTGCTTTTCCAACGGATGGTGCTACTGAGGCAGCCCGCAGATCGGAAAGGCTGCCGACTTACTCTGCCTGCGCTCTTACTCCCGATGCCCTTCTTCAGACACCTTGGGGGCCAGGCCCCACAGTGCTGATTCTGTTTTTCCACGAGTAATCTTTTAAAAGCTTTTTCATAATACACGCTTCCAAACAAAGGCACTTTGTTTTCTATGTGGCAAACTGAAAACTTTTATATTTTTTTCCTCAAGGGATGGTTTAATAACAAATCTATTTTTCTGGAATTAATATTTCAAGGTAGAAAAGTAAAACCCACACATGGTACAAAAGAGTAAATTATAAATGAGATCATCAGACAATGCTGCAGCAATAAAACGGGTTCATTTTCAATTCTATTCAGACTTGCTTACCATACATAATCAGAACATTATATGCATATGTTGACAGAAATAACGAACACATTACCTTTTGAAAAACATTTATGTTTGACATTAATTGAACTTGAAAGGGTAACATCCAGAGATGTTTAATTATGACTTACATTTTTTAGAAATATTTTTCCTGGTTATAAAATTAATGCATGTATATAAGATATTTGCAAAATTATTTTTTAAATAACAAAAGAGAAAAGTAGAACCACCCAGAATCAACTCAACTAATTTTTAACTCTCTATATAGTTGTTTTTCCTTCTGATTTTTACATAATGGAATCACACTATAAATATCTAAATTTTTTCTATTGATAGGTTATAAACACCGTCTCAGATCTGCAATTTACCCTTAAAATCTACTTAAGTCAACAGAACTTTCATACATTAATATCAAATCATATTGTTTCATTTTACATTCCTGTCTGGTTTTAAGTTTAGGTGATAAGATAAAGAGTGATTTCCAAATCAGACTGGGCAACAAATAGAACATACCTTTCTCCGATCTTTAAGAATCCTGTCCAAACTCTCTTCGTTAACTTTGCTTGCATAGTCATAAAAACTGTTTTTTTAAAGAGAAAACATATTTTATTAAAATTGCATGGTATTATGGGTCACTGAATCCTAAAAGTTGGTAATCAAGATATAAAGATATTAATTGCTTATCTTCAATAGATAACCAGAGAAATCAATCTCAATGCTTTACTGATGATGTAAGGTATCTTTTGCATCAAAGAATACTCAAGAGACTGCTACATTCAAAGGGTATTACTTCCACATGTGGAAGGTACTGATAGCAAGTAATTAGGAAATGTGTGGTTTCCAATGGCTGTGACATCTTTTCCTTGTTTCTAAGTATAAGTTACTCATGGAGAAAAGAGAATACAGGAGCTCATTTCCTGAGAAATGCAGAAGGGAAATGAACATCTGTTGAATGCTTAAGAGGCTTGGTTGCATGCTTTCTCATCTTATTTCATTTCGTTCTTGCCTCAATGCTGTTAAGCAGGTATTAGAGCAGCCCAACATGTCCCAAGTTTTATTCCCATTATTATAGATAAAGATACTTAGGTTAAGTGACTTGCCTCAAACCAAACAGGTGGTAGATGGAAGAGCTGGGATTTGAAGCCAGGTTTGCCCCTCAAATAGACCTACCTGACCAGGATCCTGTGGTGAGTAGGCATAATGATGTGTGGGCTTTCTTACCACTGATTGTGCTTTTAGGAATGCCATCCTTGGGACACCTGTGGTGGCTCAGTTGGTTAAGCATCTGCCTTCATCTCAGGTCACGATCCCAGGGTCCTAGGATCGAGTTCCGCACCAGGCTCCTTGCTCAGCGGAAGAGTCTGCTTCTCCCTCTCCCTCTGCCCCGCCCCCCTCTCATTCTCTCTCAAATAAAATCTTTAAAAAAAAAAAAAGGGGAATGCCATCCTTCCTCCCTCCTCCCACCAACGTTAAGCCCAGGCCTTATAAAGCAGTAAGAAGGGGTGCCTGGGGTGGCTCAGTAGGTTAAGCAGCTGCCTTCAGCTTGGGTCATGATCCCAGGGTCTGGGATCGAGCCCCACGTCGGGCTCCCTGCTCAGCAGAGAGCCACCTTCTCCCTCTCCCTCTGCCTGCCATTCTGCCTACTTGTACTCTCTATCTCTCTGTCAAATAAATAAGTTATAAATCTTAAAAAAAAATAAAGCAGTAAGAACTTCAAGAAATAGTAAAAAAACAAAAACAAAACAAAACAAAAAACCCACTAAACTGGGAGTCAGGAGACACCAGCCCCAGCTCAGCTCTGCTTCTCACTATCTGAGCTTGGGCAAGTCACTTAACCTATGTGGTCTCCACTTCCCTTTTCACAAAAGAGTGTGGAGTAGACACATGATTTCTAAGGTTTCCTTCAGCTCTAAGAATTATAGGTGTATGATTTAAACTTACTTAAATCCTTCTGGGACATGTTTACTGACAGTGTTGTAAGGAATTCCTCAGAAGGGCAAGGCAGGGCACACCTAGAAGAGCTTCGAAGAGTCAGGGCCAAAGCAGACACTTGCATGGACCAAACACAGCCAATGCGTGGTCCAGGGCCTGAATCATTTCATTTGCTCTGAGATTCTTCTCAAATGCACTGCTTGTCTGGCTTCCCACTCCTCTTTCAGTTACATATAAATCTAAAAGTGATGAGGATCTTGGCTGTTTTCAGACTTTGTCCACAGGTAACCATGCTGCATGAGGACAACCTCTAAAATAATCAATGGATAGGGGTGTGGGTGGGTGGGTGGGTGTGTGTGGTGGGGCAGGGGGGTTCCCCAGGAGTTCTTGGGTACAAGGGCCTGGGTGTTAGGGCCAGATGAGAATGGGACAGGGGTCAGGGTGAAAGCAGCAGGGGACATACAGCAGGAACAGCTGGGCACCAGGGGTTGGCACGTGTTAAAGAAGGGAGTGCTGACCAAGAACACTGAATCCTACTAGTGTGCGCAGCTCGGAGAAGGGAGGTACTAGCTTCTGGGAAGGTAGAACACGCCCTCAGGGAGGTTTAAGAAAGAGCTGAAATCATTATACCAGCCAGCAAGTGGAGGGCTCTGCGGCTGAGAGCAGACAGAGGCCTGCATATTGTCTGGGGAGAAGTCTGGTGGGTGGGGGTTACTGGCCTTTGTCTCTCTCACCCTCCACATGTCTGTCATTTGCTCCCTCCCTTCTGAATGTCACTCCTCCCATTTCTTTCTCTTGCTGTCCTTTAGTTGGTCTTAGTATGCAACTGGTGTATGTTAATTTATATACACACAAAAAGAAAGTTCCATGTTCCCTTTCCTTACATTTTAAAGTTGAACACTGAACATTTTTTATTCTTCTTAAAAACACCCATTAAATTCTTTTATCTGTATGTGATTCTTTTTTTTAAAGATTTTATTTATTTATTTGAGAGAGAGAGAATTAGAGATAGAGAGCACTTGAGAGGGAAGAGGGTCAGAGGGAGAAGCAGACTCCCTGCTGAGCAGGGAGCCCGATGCGGGACTTGATCCCGGAACTCCAGGATCATGACCTGAGCCGAAGGCAGTTGTCCAACCAACTGAGCCACCCAGGCGCCCTCTGTATGTGATTCTTGACTAACTTCTTGCTCTGTAGCTGAAAAGCCCTTGCTTGGGAGGCTGCTGGAGTAGGCTTTCATTGTAAACCACTGAGGATGGTGGTTTGTGTGAGATTCTGTCTCACCCCTCAAAAGGGGTGAGAGATTTATACCATCCCCTCCCCTTTCCATAACCTAACACACACTGAATATACAAGTGAATTTGGATGCCCTCAGTTATACCTGTCACTTTATAGAGCCACAATCAGCTACAAGCCTAAATTCGCTAGTTTTTAATCAATTAATCTTTTAATAAGGACTAAAAGTGACAAAGAAGGATGTGGCTTACCTAAAAAGTTTTGAACACGGCTGATGATTATGGATTTCTGTAATTAGAAAGAAGGAACACGCTCAGTAGATCATGTAAGACACAGGCAAGTATGAAACAGTCCGCTTGTTTGTTTGTTTACTGAAACCTCAAACAATATAAAGACAAGTTTTCCTCTCCCAAATAGGTGCCGTGTATACACTAGTGAGGGGCGGTGTGTCTTCTTAACACTGAAACTCAGGGACACCTCAGGATAAAGTAAACTGGAGAACAGTTGTTTCCATTTGTCCAGGTCTGATGAGCACACATCTGAAAGCTTTTATTCGGGAACATGCAGCCATTGTGCACCCTCATGCAATCTCACCTAGTTAAACAAAGTGGAAGAGGAAAAACTAACAGCTAACTGGAAACATTTAATCAAAGTGGACAAGCAGTGTGAGGGCAGCTTGAGGAGAAGAGGGCCTAACCACCCTACCATCAATAACCCACTAATAGTTCAGGACAAGTTGGGCCAGGTGTTTTGAAGGGGAAGGGAGGAGGAAGCTCTGGAGGCCTGTTAACCCCTTCAAAGATGGTCAGCACCAAGGGAAACAGTCCTTTATAAGCAGATCCTAACAGCTTCTGGAAAGGTTGCTGTGATTAACCAGAGTGAACAATTCCTTCAAGCTCATCAGGGGGCTTAGGATCTGGGTTGCTTTCTAAGACCATGAGACTAATTAACCCCTCGATCCTATTAATAACATTCTTCTGGACAGAGGCTCATCACCTGTTGTTTAAAAAGCCACAGCCACAGAGTTCCAGGCTGCAATTTTAACGCAATTAAAATGAAACCACGACCTTGGAGGCCATGGGACTATGCCCATTAGCTTCTGTACTGAGGTCAATGCGGCCAAAACACACGCACAGATGCAATCCTTCCACTGGAAAGACGAGTTCATTGCCTGGCACGGCTGTTGACACAGTGATGCAAATAAGAAAACTTCATCCAGAAATTGTTCCTTCTTTTACCACCAACAATAATACGGTACACCATCCTACATTATTTCTGCAATACTATTAGTAAAGCAATTAGAATGTGGAACATTTGTGGCAAAAACTTTACAGAGGGTTCAGGAAAAAGAAAGAAAAGCTCACCTTCTACTTTAAAGGAACGAATATTTTTTAAAAAACCCTAGAGTCGATCTGAACCCCAAATACACACTGCTGTCATCAACTGCCCCAGCAGACTTCTGTCATGATTTACAACTGGGATTAGAAGCACACTAAAGATATGACCTAGATATCATGTAGCATTTGCTAAAGGAAGTTGAACCTTTCTCTATAAGACTTTTTGCAATGCCTAAACACTCCATGGAGAAAACAGGGTGAAGGCCTCAAACATGATTAAGCTGCAGATTGGAATGAAGCTGGCTGGCACAGTGACTGATAAGATAGACCTCTGGAAACAGGCAGGAGCAGGGCAGCCTCGCCTGGGATTCTAGAGTTTGCCATGCCTCTAGAGTTCATTCACACGGCAGATTCCTCTTCATGTATATATGGCGTCTCTGCACTCATTTCCTTAGAAGTCCTCCCCCACTCCCACCCCACCCCTACATCTGGCTGTTCTCACTGATCTTCCTACCTCTGCTTCCCCTTCTGGTGGAGACTCAACAGTCCCACTACTTCCTCCTCCATCCTTTCCGATAACTGCAGTGGTATCATCTAATTAACTAAGGAAGCTCTTTGGTGGCTGCCTGCTCCCTCCCCTTCTAGAACTAAGGGTGGACAGCTCTGCTTAAAGTGAGTCAGCCCACCTTTTAACACAGAACGCGACACTTCATGGTTCAGAACGTAGCACTCTATATGAAGTCCTTACTGTATAAAGTAAAAGTGTCTGTGCATGGATTCAGACATTTGCAACAAATAACAACTTTGGTCGATTCGTTTTATTTAAAACATCTTATTCTGGAGATTAGGCTGTGCCAGAAAATTTCTTGATACCAGTGGTCTGGAATACTACTCGTGGCACTTTACCTAATGTTTGGCCTTTCAACCCAGGTTTGGAGTCCCTGTTTCTATTTCTAACATGTACTTATTTTTAAAAGAAAATTATTACAATGATGACAATACATTTAAGATAATACCAGCACTTTGCCCATGAGATCCACAACCGTTTCACACAGTGAACTGAATATAGCTAATAAATTACACATTTTGCAGAAGATGGTTGTCATGGCACTGCATTAACTGGGACTCTATCAATTGCTAATTCTCTGTATCTACAATACCATGGAAACGTATTTACTGCAAGAACCAGAAGGTTTATGAATCAGATACGGTGCATGAAGCTATAGAATTTCAATTATTTGCCATTCTATTTCTTTAAAATAAATAAATAAATAGCCAGAATATTCATCAGAACTGCTATTTTTATGGTCATGCCAGGTAAGAGAGCTCTTTTTTGCATGGTTTGCTCTCCGTTAATTATGTCTGGCATTTTAACCTTCACATACCAAATTAGTTTTGAAAATCCAAGTTCAAATAATAAAACTACACTCATGTTCAATGAAACCAAATTCTCCATTTTAGGATTTTAAAAGTTAAGCAAAACAGAAACAAAACCTCAGTGAAAGAAGAGCTGTATACAGCATATCAAGTCTTTATTTAACAAGTCAGTGTTGTGAGGAGTGGGTTTTATCGTTTGGCTCCTTTAGGAAATGAACTGTTTCTTGTTTTCCCCCAATCCTAACCCTACCTCAATCCTCATCTTGTCCTAGAAGGCTATCAGAACTAGAAGGCTTGAAATTGATGATGTGGCCCCAACACAATCTAACCTGCCAGCAATATTTCAAACCAGAAACCACTCACCTTCACACATTCTGTATTTTCATCACATAGAAACAGGCCAGATTCCCTGTGTATCTTGTGTACTCCTTGCTCTCTGTTCCCCTGAATGCACTGCCCACTGACCCTAAGTTCACCTCCTTCATGACACCTTTCCTCTCTACTGCTTTCACTCACTAGCAGGTTTTTTTTTTTCAACTGATGGGATTTTCCCTGTTCCTTTCTTAACAGTACTCATCTCGTACGGTTGTCTGGGACTTCTGTGCACTTGTCTTATCCTCCCCACACTCCAGGAATATAGGGATGCATCTGGGTATTCCTCTCATTGCCTGGCACACACCTCACACACAGATGGTCAGTAAACGGTGGTGGCCTAAGTGAAATGTCCCTTGCTGTGTTCTGAGTATCAGGATATGCTATTTGGTGACATGCTCAAGGTGCAGCTGAAAGGAGTTTGATCCCTATTTATCAAAGAGAGACTGATCCAAAGAGAAAAAAAAGAGAGACTGATCCAAAGACAGTGGGGCGCATCTATAAATACTCCTTCATCTTCCCCAGCAATCACCCCAAAACTGACTATTTGGCTTGTTCTTCAGAAGGCTGTGTAGATTTAGCAAATAGCTCATAAAAACAAGTGTGAACATCTTTGCCAGATCCCTCTAGGAAGGACCAGCCCCAAAGATCCTTGCATTACAGTATGTGGTGATGCTGACAATGGGGAATAGCCCAATATGCGAACCAGGGGTTCACTGTGGTTTTTAAGAGACTATCGAGAGAGAGCACACAGCAATTCAGTAAAAGACCAGCTGGTGGATACGAGTTTTATAGACTACTTAAACTTACAGCCAGCACGGCAAGTTCACAATGACTTATAAAACATTTCATACTAGCTATCAGTGCAAATGATTTGCGTTGTGCTTTTAGCTGCTTTTTATGTACTCTTTTTATCTTTCAGATTAAAACCAGTTAAGGACCAAAGAACAAAACAAACAGCATTGATACAGAAAAAGTATTTTTAAGCTCAGTGACAAACTCACCAATTACTTGCAGAAATTCTGTGTTGCTGATTTGTGAGTCACTGATGCTAAAGGTTTCCTCTTGTCTTACCTCTCCCAGCAGAAATCCTTCCTAAAAGTAATAAAAAAAATAGTTGCAGACTAAAAATAAAGATAATTTTTTACTAGAATTAAGAGGAATTGAGGGCATTATAATTTTATAATAATTTTAACAATAATCCAAATAGGCTTGCCGTATAAACTACTATTCTATAAACCAACAAGACTAAAGCAATCTGAGATATATCTATTAACTGGATTGTTTGAAAAAAGGATTCCATACACGATGAAATATTTTAATCCCTTCAAAAAAACCCTGTTTTTTTTTTTTTAAGCAAAAATAAGGACAGTGAATTCATTTCCTAAATCCTACTAAGTGTAGTAACCAATATCAAAAAAGCTCAGGAAGCAGAAATATTCCAAGGTTGTTTTCTTGAAACAGCATACAATTTATTTCATTGTTTTAAAAGCACTGTTAATGATACAAGGATAAAGAAGTTAACACAATGCACAACGAACTGCTCCTGTACAGGGTGCGGGAAATGAGGATTTCAGCAAATAAATCACTCACATGAACGTCCTTCCTTAATAAACACTGAGCTTAGTTTCTTTACAGCTCTGGAGAACATAGGCCATCAATCCTGGCTTACGCAGCACACAACCTACTGTGGCAGCACTTGCTGCTGTGTTGAGCACAAGCATGGCTGGAGAACGTTAATTCCATGTGCCTCAGTAACTTCCCTATAGAGGGTGAGCTAACAGGCTGCCCCACGATCTCCCTTCCTGGATAACCACATGTTTTGCTCCTTCCCTCTGTTTGGCTCTTTACCCAAACCGCACCTTATCAGAGAGGCTTTCCTTGGCCAATGTAACAGAAACAGGGCGTGCCAAACACTCTGTCCCCTGCGTTTTCTTCCCAGTCTTCTCCCAGTCTGCCATAGCACATCCTTAAATTAACAAACAAATGCCTACACCTATTAAATTGTAAGCTCCATGAGAGCAGGGACTTTGTGCTTGTTCATTGTTGTATCTCAGCAACTAGCACAGTGCCCGACACACAGGAGGTGCTCAGTAAATACTGGCTGAGGATATCTGTGGAAACAATGACCTTGTACTACATACCTTTCTCTTCCAGGCTGACCCTTCGAATCAATTAAAGAGATTGTCTAGCTTAAAAACATTACCAGTTGGAATCTGTGGGAGTGAGGAGGGAGAGACAGACGCTTTACAGCATAGCTTTTGTATTGGATTAGGGGAGGAGTGTCCTAAATTCCCAAATCGTGTATAGGGCATTTCACAAACTTGAGTAATATACAAATCCCCTTTAAAAAAAAAAATTCTCTCAAACCTGAAGGAATATCTATGACTACTAGTTTGAGAAACAGTGACTAAAGAAGCTTGTTTTATCCTATGAAAGTCTTTCAGAGAAGCTTTCTCTTTGTAACAAGTTAATAAAAATTAAAGTGAAAGCAATTTTTTTTTAAATTCCTACAGAACTTTCCATTTTAAGAACATATCTCCAGATCCCTAGTGTTCCACAGTCTAGGACTGCCAAATTTAGAAAATAAAAATATAGGATACTGTTAAATTTGAATTTTAGATAAACAACAAACAATTTTTATGTAATATTTAGGATATACTTACACTAAGAAATTATTTCCTATTTATCTGAAATTCAATTTAACTGAGGGCCCTGTATTTTATCTGGCAACTCTACCACAGTCCTCAGTTTGAAAAAGTCAACAGTGACAGCAAGACATTCTAAAACTAAGTTAAACGAATGCTTTTTATCTGCTGGTCTGGATTACAGGAGCCACTGTTACTTTGTAGCAGGAAGAAACAAACTATGGTGTGTGGGATGAATCTAGCCTCATGCCTGTTAGTGTACAGCCCAAAGCTAAGAAGAGTTTCTACTTTTAAATGGTTGAAAAAAAACAGGAGGGGCGCCTAGGTGGCTCAGTCGTTAAGAGTCTGCCTTCGGCTCAGGTCATGATCCCAGGGTCCTGGGATCAAGTCCCACATCGGGCTCCCTGCTCCGCGGAGAGCCGGCTTCTCCCTTCTCCCACTCCCCCTGCTTGTGTTCCTGCTCTCACTATCTCTCTGTGTCAAATAAATAAAATCTTAAAAAAAAAAAACAAAACAGGAATATTTCATGACATGTGAAAATTACATGAAATTCAAACTCAGAGTCCATAAATAAAGTTTTATTGGAAACTGTCATCCTAATTAACGTATTGTCTATGGTTGCTTTCTCTGTACAAAGCAGAACTGAGTAGCTGCTACATAAACCACATGGCTCACAAAGTCAAAAATTTTACTTATCTGGAAAAAGCCTGCTAACCCCAGCTCTACAGAATGAGTGGTTTTAAACTAATTTCTTGCCTGGACAAAACAAGAATGTGCTACAAAAGCAAATTTGGTTCCTCAACTTAAAAATATATAAAATTGACATTAAAGTATTCCACATATATAATTGTGGCAAGGTTAACATAACCAGCTATGGTCATATAAAATACACTTGCAAACTACTGTCATAGTGAAAATTTCCATGATGTCTAGCACCACGCCTGGCACAGCATAGGTATTAAAGGAATAGTTCTTGAATTGAATTAATAACAATCTAAGTAAAGTAGCAACTCCCTGCCATTTGCAGAAAAACTATCTGCTTTTCAACAGGTAGCTGCTTATTCTTACAATAACCTTGCTTTTTACATAAACTGTGATATTACTAGGTACTCCAAGCACTAGAGACGTTAAAAAGCCATTATTCAAACCATATTTAATACTTCCATGGACACTAGGAGTATCACAAACCACCTATATATGGAACTTCATTACATTATTAAATAGCTGGCTGTAGTATCAAAGGCCTTAGCATCCAGAGACATCTACTAACTCTGGAAAAACCCACGGTGTGTGTATTCCTATCATTAATCTCTACCATCAACACTATAGGAAAAGTAGAATAAAATTTAATGCCATCCAATTTACTAACAGAATCCCCTCTATGAGATCAGTTTTTATTAATGGAAGCTAAAGTTGCAGACATCAAACCAAATCCAGTTCCTTAGTCTACAGTGCATCATTTTGCTTTGTAATAACCTCAAAACCCCCACACTTATTAAATGAATTTGAATAACTCACTATTAAGATCTCTTAAAATCCTCTCAATTTGGTGGACAGATTAAATATGGACTTAAAGATAAAAATTATCTAGTTTCACAAAGAAACTTCCATCTAGGCGAATGACATTAAAAAGACAATTCGTAAAATAAAGACATTGAAGCAGAGAAGCTCTGCTCCCTCCGAGCTCCGAAGCCTATGCATTTCCGATCACTCATACGTAGGCCTGTCATTTCCCTACTTCACTACGACTACCGCCGTGGTTTTAGAACATTCGCCAAAGAACTAAATATGCAACTTCAAGGCAAGCAGACCCTACACCTAACACTCCTGTTTACATTCCCCATTTTCCATCGAGGGGGAAAAAAACACACGAACGTATCTAACAAGTATGAATAGTGACAACCATGGTTTCCCTCGTCGCACCGCATGACAACCTGTGAGACCGGCGGGCGGGGCTGCGTGCCCCGGCTCCTAGAATAAAGCTCGGTCTCTCCGCGCTTTGCTGACCCCGGGAGCCCCTCGCAAGTCTAGAAGCCTGACTCTCAGGGAGGGGCAGGCGCTTGGTTTCCACTAAGCGACTCCTGACACTGCCGGCGGCCAACGGAGACAAGCTTTGCTAAAAGGGAGACGGCCGTCCTGAGAGGGCCAGGAGGCGGCAGGCACTGAGTGAGGGGGCCCATCCCAGGGGCGAAGGAGACCTAGGTGGCAGGAGCTCGCCGGGGGCGGGAGCCGCCCGGGTCACCAGCCCCTCGGGCCGGCCCGGGAGCCCGGGGGACAAGCCGCGAGTGGTCCCGTCTTGGCCGCAGGCACCGGCCCGGGACGAAGGCTGGAGGCTCCAGCAGCCGCGGCGGGGGGCCCGGCACCTACGTGGTCGGCGTTGCTGTTGGCGCTGTGGAAACACACAGCGCTGAAGGTGTAGCCCGAAATGGAAGCCGCCATGATGGAAATCTCCGACTCCCCCATCATGCCCTGCGGAGGAAACACAGCCTTCCGGCCAGCCCCGCCCCTTGGCATCCTGGGAAATGAAGTCTTCGGCGGGTGAGGCCAAGGGGTCGAAGCGCCCGCAAGCGAGGGCTAAGTAAAGCAGGTTTGCACGATCGGAACCGACCCCGGGGACGTGTCTTCTGCGTGGGTCTTGCGCCCAGCGTCCCTCAGACACTGCCTCTTCTATATAGCCCTTGATAGTTCCCCAAATCGTCTTGTCTCTGCAAATTAAACTCTTTCTGATAAAAGCCAACATTGCCATGCTCAAGGATGAAAGGAAGGCGACGATTCAAGAAATTGTATGGTTTGGATTCGACATAGAAGTAATATGCTGTGATTTACATTTTCATATGACCACTCTGGCTGCAGTGTCGAGACCATAATGTGGGGGAGGGAGACGGGGTGGGGGGGAGAAGGGTGGTACTCCAGTAGCCCGCAGCGGGGAGGACTAAGGTGGTTTGGGGGTGGTTGGAAGGGAAATGGTGGTAGCCGTGGAGGTGGTAAGAAGCGATTGGATTCTGGGTACCAAAGAACACGAATTTAATGAAAAATCATGGAAAGAAGAAAAAAACAACAAAATAACGGTGAGAATAAAATATAACGAAGTTAGGAAAAGAAAGTCAGGGATCATTATTCTTCAATTCGTTCAATCTTTTAGGTTTAAAACTGGACTCCTGATCTCCCACAAGGCTCCTTCTACCACACTCTTTCCAAGTTCAGCAAATGGAACTGTTTTCTGACAGCTGCACAGGCCAAAAACCTTGGAATCATTATTGACACGCCCCCTTTGATCCGTCAGCACATTCTTAAAAATACATGTAGAGGCTTACAACTCAACACCAGCACACCTCACTTATCATGGTGGTCAAAGCCATCAACTCTCTCCTGGATCATTATTAACAGTCTCTAACTCAAGAGGCCTGAACTGGGAGTAATATTACCCCTTAGGGGACGTTTGGCAGAGTCTGGAGACATTTTTAGATGTCGCAACTGGGGGGAGGGTGCCACTGGTAATTTAGTGGTTAGAAGACAAGGATGCTGCTAAACATCCTACAAAGCATAGGAGAGCCCACCCCCCCATGTCAATGGGATGATGTTGAAAAACCCTATATTCCAGCTTCTGTCTTTAACCCCTTCCCTGCCAAATCTGTTCTCAACATAGCAGCTAAACTGGTCATGCTAAAACTTAAATTTAGAATTTAAATCATGTTGCTTCTTGGTCTAACTCCAAACCTTGTAATGACCTCGTCTGACTTCCTCTCCTGTTCCTGCCCCCCCCCCTTGTTCACTCTGCTTCAGCCCCACTAGTCTTTCTGCTTCCTGGATATCCCTATTTCATCCTACCTCAGGGCCTTTGCGCTTGCCGTTCCCTTTACCTAGAGTGCTCTCTCACACAGAGTTGCAAGGTTTCTTCCTCTACCTCTGCTCTAGATGCTGTGATGTACCCACCCTTGTGGGATTGACAGACTTATCATCCCAGTGGTTGGAGAAGTTGTTTGCTTTCTCCTCGATTACCCTCAGTGTAAGAAAGAGACATTGCCTAAGGTCATTCCCCCTTTTCGGGGCAACCAACATTCAAGGCTTTATCCATGTAGATGGATAAAGGTCCACCTCCTTCCCTCCAACTTGGGGCAATTCCAAAGGGTCATCTCAGCTCCAGAATGCTCTGCGGGGGAAAGGGGTGCTAGCTGAGGTGTTGTTGTAGTGGTACCCCAGCCCAACCACTTCCTCCATCCAGCTCTGTTTCTTTCCCTTCCCCAGTAGGTGGTGATCCTGAGAGCACTCCCTAATAAACTCCTTTCGTGTTCATCTCAGTGTTAGACTCTGCTTCCCTGGGATACGACCTATGACAACCTCTTGTAGGTTTTCACTTGGTGCCGCCCTGTCAGAGAATCCTTCCTTACTACCCGAACCGGATTGCCGCCTTCACCTGACGTGCTCATGAGTCTTCCTCCCCGTTTCCCCTTCCCCTTTCCCACTCATCACCACCTCCCATCATCTCTATTTTATTCATTTCTCCAGCACATTGCCTTTGTTCCTCACCTGGCATATTCTGAACTGCATGAAGACAGGAATTCATCTTTGATTTGCTTCCTGGTGTGTCTCCAGGGGGACTCAGTCCCAGGAACCTGGGATCATGACCTGAGCCGAAGGCAGACGCTTAACTGGCTGAGCCACCCAGGTGTCCCATATCGCCACAATGTTGTTAAGTTAAAATGCAACTTGCAAACAATGCAAATGGTAAGATTCCATTTCTATATATTTATCAAAACAAAACAATGCATTTCTGTAAGTGCATATATGCAGGCAAATGCCACACTCTGCTATGATGGGTCTGAAAGTAGAAACAAGAAAGTCCAGTTTCATTTGGATTATGCCCATTGGGTAGTCAAGGAAACTGGGACCTAACAGGTTTAAATTAAGTGACTCACGCAAGGTCACACCTGGTAGGAACTAAGTTGTGATTGAAGTTCAAGATGGCTTGACACCATCGTCTATGGTGATCAGGAAAGAAAATGCAAAGGGAAGGAATGGGTGGTGTCTGGCATCGAAGGAGGAAAAAACCCGGCTGAATTTTGGGGACCTCTGTGGAGGGAGAGAGGGGAAGAGAGGATAGTTGGGACCAAAGAAGTGGCCTAGAGCTGAATGGTGTGAGGGAGGGGTCTACTGGGAAGGGGCTGCGGTGGCCCCAGTGAGCTGTGAGCCTGAAGTAGCCCAAGAGAAAGCAGAGCAGTGGCAAAAATGCCCCTGAGCCCTGAGACCGGGAGGAGCTGTGTGTGGAGGGTGGGGGAAGGACGAGACAAGGCTGATGCTCTGCTTTGGCCGATGGTAGGATGGTCAGGGGCCAAATGAAGGAGAACAGAGGGAAGACAGGGTTTGGAGGCATCGGAGCCGGGGGAGAAGGCAGTGCAAGAAAGCTCAGTTTGGAACAGGTTGAGTTTCACATAACAAGGGACATCTAGGCCACTGAAGTAAAAGCCTGGAGCTGGGGATAGAGGATGAAATTGGAAGTCGCTAATAGTAAGAAAAATACCTAACATTTACTGAACGCTGACCATCTGTCAGGCTCTGTTCTCAGCTCTTTACATGTACGTTCTATGCACTTATTCAATCTTCCTAACAATGCTCTGAAATAGATGCATTTTCTTTTTTTTTGATTTTTATATTTTTGAAAGATTTTATTTATTGATTTGACACAGAGAGTGCACAAGCACGGGGAGCAGCAGGGAGAGGGAGAAGCAGGCTCCCCGCTGAGCAAGGAGCCCATGCAGGGGTTCAATCCCAGGACCCTGGGATCATGACCTGAGCCGAAGTCAGCCGCTTAAATGACTGAGTCACCCTGGTGCCCCAGACAGACCTATTTGAAACTCTATTTTATAACTGAAGAAACTGTGCTGGCATTTATTGAGCATTTACCATGTGTCGGGCACGTAAGATTTCACAGGAACGATCTCATTTAATCTCCACAGTGGCCCTACGCCAGGGGCACTATTCTGAAAGGATGGGCAAACTGAGGCCCTGAGAACTTGAAGAACTTGCCTGTAGTCCCACATGATAGGGTCAGGGCTCAAAACCCGAGTCCAACTCTAGAGCTGCGTGCCTACCTCCGTTTTTTAAAAGGCTCACTTAAGAACAGGTGGTGCTGGGAAAATAGGGAGGGTTTTTCAAGAATGGCGTCCTAAGCGATGTGGTGTTGATCTCTAACAGAGGATCAAGGAAGGTAAAGCCTGGAACTCGACCCTTGGTTTGCCAAATGGGAAGTGTTTGAGAACTCTTGAAAGCACAGTTTCGGGGAAGTTGTAGGTAAGCAGGGTTCCGGGCTGCAGGGATTGGTAACATGAGAGGGGGATGAGGCAACCCAGAGCACCCGAAGAGCCTCCCCCTGCCTATGTAACGGACACCTGGTGAGAGGACTGTGTTCCTTGGCACATTCCACCTTCTCCCTGGTGATGGGCAGCTCCACTCGAATTGAGCTTCTCCGCCCTCCACTAAGAATCCTGTTGCCCTGGGTGATCAGAGGTGGTGCCCCACACAGCCGTCAGGACTAAACAGCCAGAGTAACCCTGGAGCCAGAGCAGGAACTCTGTATAAACAGAGGGTTTTTCCAGGGCTCCATACTAACAACTGTTTATAGCGTTCATCACACACAGCAAAAACATCTTCAGTGTTGGCAAGACACCAGATTGAAGATCGCCTTATCTTTCATTAGAACCTAAAACTTTTTAAGACTTAGTCACATTCAAGCTTGCTTTCTCTAGCATCTAGAACCTAGAAAAGATCAAAACAACCATTTGCCCAGGGCAGCACTAATTGCCTGTGGCATTTGGTGGTTTTATTACACTGTAATAAGGTTACTTATGTTCTTTCTTGAGTCCTTTAATCACTATACATATGGATCCCCATCTGTCTTTTACTGTATTCTATCACCAGTGGTTGCTGGAATATCTTGGAACATCTTGTATAGGAGGAGATGCACATTCGGTCCTAACTGGAGTTTCTGTGAACTGTTGGTGCTGTTTCCCTCTAGGGACTTATTGGACTTCTGTCTGCTGAGTCAACAGAAACATGGCCAAGGAAACATTCCTTTTGGTTGGAAGACAGCCTTCCTAGGGGCTTTTGAGAGCCTTGCCTGGGACATTGGACTGTCAGTAGTTCATTGCTGCTACAGACCCCCCCCCCCCCACCGACCTTTGGCCCATAAGATTTCTCACATTATACTGCAGAACTCCCAATGGTAGTCAAACCAAGAGGCAGATGAATCTCAGGTTCATCGGCTGGGAGCAACCTGGTAGAACCAGTCACCGTCTATTTCAGGCATGGTGCAGGTAAGGAAGTTGAAGCACACAAAGGTTAGGAGTCTTGAACAAGGTCAGGTGCCTGGTTAGAGGCAAAGCTGAGACAGGCATCCAGGCATCTTGACTCCCATCACTTTCTTCCACAACACTCTGACCCCCATGATTGGAGTATTTTGGGGGGATGGGGAGGATGTGATGTGGTGTTGTTGTAAGGCAATCATTTCTCTGGGCATAAATTCCCATGTCCAGCAGTGATGTCAAGAGGGCAG